CGTTTAGGAACTCCCATTAACCCCACTCGTGCTAGTGTAGTGGGATTATCTACCTTGTTACTGAGGAGTCGATAGTAGTGTACCAGTAATAATAATTTACGTCTTAGTTGTAGGGTATCCAGTCCTACCATCCCTGAGACAAACATTGAAGGAAAAAGGTAGGGATAATATCCGTACCTCTTCCTATACACAAATCGAGCGAATTTTCTTTGGATACGCTCAATTAGGATGGAGTATTTTGTTTCGTAGGGGTCCCACACCACTGCACTATACTCTAGCCGACTACGCACATAAGCCTTGTATAAAGTTAGTACTGCTCCAATTCCCTTAAAGTCAAACGAAATCCTCATTACAAATCCCAACATTTTATTAGCACTCTCACAAACATTTATCATATGCTGTCTGAAGTTAAGTTGTGAATCTAAAGTTAGTCCCAAGTCTCTTATTATCTCAACTCTATCCAATTGTCTATCCGATAACTCATAATTGGCAATTATTGGCCTGCGAGAGCGTGTGTAGGTTATAATTTTACATTTTGACCCATTAAAATACAGTCGATTATTGTCACTCCATTTCGCTATTGCGTCTATGTCCTTTTGCAGATCACTGCAATCTGAGATATTTTTAACTACGTGATATAGTTTCAAATCATCTGCAAATAATAAACACTTAGCAGCACTAACGGCCCCTGGCAGATCATTAATCATAATGATAAACTGGGTTGGTCCAAGTGTGCTCCCCTGACTCACGCCCGATCTTGTGTAGTAGCTGTCCGATTCAAATTGTGCCAGCCTGACATATTGAGTCCGGTTTCGCAGGTAGGTACATGTATTGCATAATAATTATATTATGCAATACATGACAGTAGCGTCAATCTTATTCATGTATCTATCCTATATACCTATATAAAACATATTTATCTTAAAAAAAAAACCTATTTATCTATATTTATATTCTTAAATGGTTCCCAATACAAGTCTAATATAAAATGTTACACAAAGGTCTCTGATCACGTCAGAGGAGCACTTTGGCACAGCAGGAGGGGTTTTAGCCGGTAATAGTCCGGCAGTACTCACACCTACCTATTCGTGGGGAGGTGTGAGTCTCCATGAGGAATGGAATGGAATCTGCTTCTGGATCCTCTGCTTAAAACGATGGAGCGAGAGGAGTATGGGTGCCAGGCGTTCGCAGATGATGTCGTGATGGTGTTCGATGGAGACACAGCTGCCAAAATTGAGCGGCAGGCCAATGCCGCCCTCAAATATGTCCGGGCGTGGGGTGTCAGAAACAAACTCAGATTCACGCCACATAAAACCATGGCTATGACCGTGACGCGCAAACTGAAGTACGACACACCACGCCTGAGGATGGGCGGCACTGACATAACAATGTCAAACGACATCAAGCTGCTTGGTCTCACGATCGACAGCAAACTGACGTTTAACAGTCACGTCAAAAACGTATGTGCCAAAGCTGTCGGCGTGTACCAGCAGCTGGCCAGAGCGGCTAGGGTCAGCTGGGGTCTCCATCCGGACATCATCAGGAGCATATACACTGCTGCGGTGGAGCCTATACTCCTCTATGCGGCGGCAGCATGGGCACCCGCGACCAACAAGCTGGGAATCCGGAAGCAGCTAAACGCGGTCCAGCGGAGTTTTGCACAGAAGCTCTGTAGAGCGTACCGTACGGTCTCCCTGAACTCTGGTGCTGGCTGGTGTACTACCTCTCGATATTCGAATCAGGGAAGTCTCGACCCTATATAAGGCCAAGAGGGGAGTGCATTAGTCGGTACTTGGCGATCGGGAGATTGAGCGGATGGCACCGGCAATGGAGAGCCCCCATCCCAGTGAGCAGCAAGAGATGCGAGTTGCGACGCCTGGTAGACGAGGAACACTACCAAAGCCACAGCAACTACGCTGTGCGCATATTCACCGACGGTAGCAAAATTGAAGGGAAAATTGAAAGTCGGAGCGGCGTACTCAGTATGGAACCAAAATACAGAGGCCAAATACCGGAAATTAGCGCTGTCGTTCTCGTTACACTGCACCGTCTACCAGGCTGAACTCCTACCCCTAAAAGAGGCAATGGGGGAGATCCTTAAAGGGAGAAATATCACGCATGCTGACTACAGTGACTCCATAGCGGCACTCCAGACCATTGTGAACCACAGTGCCCTTCACCCCTTAGCTGTAGAAACGAGAGACGCCCTGCGCCGTTGCGCGGGCCAGGGCAAGAGCGTCACTCTTTACTGGATAAAAGCCCATGCGGGACTGGAGGGCAATGAAAGAGCGGACGTGCTAGCGAAGGAGGCTGCCCTGGGGTCAAAAAGGAAACCAGACTATGATCGGTGCCCGGTCTCATTCGCCAAAAAGATGATAACGTCTGGAGTATCTTGGCGAGTGGGATCATAGATACGTACAGGACTGGCAACACGGCGTCGACGACAAGGCTGTTCTGCCCCAATGCCGTAGAAGCTTATGCAACTGTGAAGAAGCTGACCATGACCAAAGAGCTAGCACAGGCGTTGACGGGGCACAGTGGGTTCTCGGAATAGGTACCTAGCACGCTTCAAGTGTAAAGAGATCCCATCGTGCGTCTGCGATGACCGAGTCACAGAGTCCCTCCCTCATCTGCTGGTAGTGTCCGCAGCACGAGCGAGCGCGGCACGCACTGGAGATGAAAATCGACCAAAGAGTGCTGCAGGCCACACTGCCGAGTCTGATCAGAGATAGCAAAAACAGGGCGGACTTCATCGACTTCATAACGATGCTGGTGAGGTCCCCAAACACAAGAGACGTTGCCAATAAAACTAGTGACGAGGCTATTCGTCGGGCATCGCAGAGTGCTCGTAGTTCAGACCATCCTGGAATGGAAGACCGCTGAGCCTGCATAAACGACCCATGTCATGCTACGCATGGCAGGGCGCTTAAAGCAAAGACGGACGAAAGAGAACACGAGCACAAAATGGCAATACCCCGACGAGGAGATGAAGAACGGGGCGCTTTCTATGTATATTCATATATATGACAGTATCTATCATAATATATGACAGTAGCGTCGACATTATTATAATATATTTATTTATTATATCTATTATAAACTTATTATATTATGTAGGTATTTATATACTATCAAATTCGAAAATTGGCACAAATATTCAGAATCCAAAAAGTAAAAATAAGTCTCTGATCATGTCAGAAGGAGCAACTCGGCACAGCAGGAGGGGTTTTAACCTAGGGTTTTAGGGTATTTTTAACACTACAATTTGATAAGGGTTTGGAGTCGACCTAATGATGGAGCCGACAGACAGTCGAGAGAATTCCTCAACGGTTTATATTAACTATTTTGTGTTTGGAGTTGATTAATTTGTATTGATGATGAGGACTTTATACCTAGATAGAGTGGGACTGTCATTAAGGATCTGATGATGAAGAAGTGTAATTGTTAAGGGAACTCTTTAACGGTTTATAGTAACTACCTTTCGTTTGGGCTTGTATAATTTGTATTGATTAGGACTTTGCACCTATGTAGATTATAAGTGACAAAACGGGTCTAAGTATGTAGCTTTACACAGAAAATAATAAAATAATAAAGTAAAAACTGCGTTTAAAAAACTGACTTCGAAAATCAACAACTAATAACAAACAAACGGTCAAAACTAAAAAGCAAAAAATAACTATTATTAGTACTGATAGATTCTGATCTGATCTCACTGATAGGTTCCAAGTCGGCGACATAAGTTCTATACAAAATTATTCATTAAAACCTTATTATCCCGAAAAAATATATACACAAAAAACAAACTTAATTGGGCAAACGCAAATATAACGACGTTTTCTGTGGATTATTGACGTTGATCTTCTTGAAAAAATAAAACAAAATCAGATTTTAAAATTGAAATCACATGTTTATTTTTCTGTCACTTCAGTTGTAATGATAGCTTTTATATTATTTTTACTTAAATAATAAATAACTATGCATTTAACATACAATAAAGATTTCAAAAAACCATGCACATACATGATTGAATACCTACCTGTTATGGTGTTACAAAATGGTTTATGAATCATAACATTGTCTAGGTCTACCTAAAAATACATTTGGGTTAGTTCCTTACTAACTATAATTATGTATCTCAATTTTCCAATACATTAAAACAAACTAAATATAAATCACAATCCTCTGACAAAGTTGTCAGGCATTGGAAACATCTGCCCTTACTGGGCAGTAATTTAAATTATTGGGCAAAGTTAATCAATTTAAATTGATTAAGGGCAAATATTTAGGGAATAAGTATGCTACTTGCTACTTGACGCAAAGTGTACAACATTCTTGTATAAAATAAAATGAATAGAAATCAAATCAAGTTATTGTAGCCTAACACCACAAGTAATTATCTTTGTAAGACCTTATATACTTACATTCAATGCAAATAAATTATTCCATTTGATTCTAATAATTTTAAGCAACCATTCCAATGGTTTTTCACACTGTTGGTACAAGTGGGCCTCGAAGCTACTTTTTAATCCTAGCCCAGATGAAGCAAGGGATGCAGGCGCTGGCTGTGCAGGGCACCACATGCCTCGTATGACGAGCTAGTTTGTGTGTTTTCATGGTCATGGCAACCAACTTCAATTTCAAAACACATTACTTAGTGGCTTTTCAAAACAAAGTTTTGATTTTTTACATAGTAACATATTGACCTAACCCTTCAATTGGTTGGTTTCCCTCGATGCAAATACTATTACATCATTAGCTTAACATGGGTAAGTCAATTTTAGTGATGTACATAAACACTTGACATACCTGCAGTACACATTGCTAACACTTATATCCCTGAAAACAATTAAATTTCTTACTAAATTATTTACTTTACACTTTATTTAAGTCTTTGCTTCCTTGCGCAGTGTCCAGGCCAGAATGTGTGCTCAGTGTTCAGTTCACACCACAATGAATGCACCAATATCATGGAACGCACTAAACTCTGGCAGGTGTGACTGCTACCTCCGGTTGTTGCCTCGCTGGTGGCCGCGTCCGCGCACGTATGTTTTGTGCGTGTGTTTGCCAGTGTGGTCCTGTGCGGGCGCGAAACGATCCGTCTTAGCAGCGTGCGGAGGAGCAGGTGCGGAGGGAGCCTGGAGCGGCCGCAGTGGAACGTGCGCCCCGTTGGATCGGTCCGCAGCTGCGGTCGCAGCGCCGGCAGCCGGTGGTGGCGGCGTCGGCTGCGGCTCGCTCATATTTACTTGCTCGTTGAACAGCATGCAGAATTCGCCCACTTTCTGAATGTCTCCAGACTTTCCAGAGTACAAAGTAAGCGCTGAGCGCCAGAGAGACGCGTAACCGCGTGTAAGACGCACGATGTCTCCGGGCTGTAGTAGCGCGCCAGGCTCATCCCACACAGAGAGATTCACGGAAGCAGTGGCGTCAGCTACGCGCAAAGTCCGCACTTCTCTAGCCTCTTTAGTGAGTGTCGGTGGACCTACCTCTAATACTATAAACTCTGCATTTATGTTCTTCATGCCAGGTTTTAAATCCTTTATCTGAATAAACTGCAAGGTAGTCATTGTACGGTCGATTTGTTTCGTTAGCACAGTAAATATTTATGGTACACGTAAAAATTATTGTTTTTTGAATAACTGCAATTTCAAACAATTCCCTGACGCAAGAGTAGGCAACAGATCAATGGTAATTTGAAATGAAACTGAAAATAACGTTTTATTCGAAAATAGAAGATTGATCAACTCAACTCAAATTGAATTGAGACAGATTGAGATCACATTCATAATCACAGAAGCTAAACTCCGACAGATGACAGATGTCAAAAATGACTAAATTGACAAGTGTCACGTAGTCTTTGAATGACGTATTCCGCTCGGGAGGTCATAATAAAACTAATTTCCTACAAAATAAGCCTTGAGGTCCCTGGTCCGAAAGTGGCTAGTTTCTGAGATATTCAACATTTTCGGTTTTGGTGAAAAAAAATCCCAATCAAACTACAAACCCGAATGGATGTTGGAATGTTTAATGGTACTTTAGGTAAGCCTACATCTGAAGCTGCGAAAATTATATATTCCTTTATATTAGATAGATAAGTAGACTAAGTTATTTTGTTTAAGTTGTAAATACATTTGTTATGTAGAAGCACGATGGGATTGACATCGTCACATAATGTGTACAAAAATCCTTACAATAAATGAGATTAAAAAAAAAAAAAAAAAAACTACAAACCATCAATAAATAAAAAACTACTGGTTCGATTTAAGTGATTTTAGTTTTAATTTATTGTTACTACACCAATAAGCGTTTATTAATACTAATACTTTCAGAAATATCATTCGTTTTAAAATATCATGTAAATTAGTATCAAACTTTGTTTTGTGTCGCTAATTAGGTAAATAGAAAACTGGATTTAGTTTAAAAAAATATATTGCACTAAGCGTAGAAACTATTAGAAAAATTCCTTTTTTAATTCCTTGGTTTATTAACTACCCAAAAACATTAGTGATGCTGAGTGCCCTGCTAGGAAGATAGCGGAGTACAGATTCATCAACTCATTAGGCGTATATCCATGAATTCCGTTAAGGGCCTGTACAAATGGATGCCGTGAGGAGCTTATATCCATGAATGCCGTTAGGGGTTGTGTAACTGAATGCCGTAAGGGGCGTATATCCATGAATGCCGTAAGGGACTTGTACTAATGGATGCCATAAGCGGTTTTGTCATTTGTCAGAATTTGATTTGTCGCGAAACATATTCAAGTTCGCATTTGCTTCCTCGATTACTTTTGGTATCACAATTTCACAGCCTATTTCAGGAACATGTTTCTGTTTGAGGAAACATCAAAGGTTTGATCATTAGTTTCGCATGTTGAAACACTCCTAGCTTCATATCTCTGCCGCCTCGTTGACTTTGAAGCTTCTGGCTTTCAAAATGAAAGAAATGTTGGCACTGCTCATTTTTCAAAATGTTTGCGTTTATGGTTTAATCCTAAAATCCAACAAAAACAAGTTAAATTTGCAGATTAAATTATAAGTTATTTAAAATTAGACTGAAAATATGAATCTTACCAGTATATTTACTTTCACTATAAAAATCATCAGGCTTGAAATGTTTACTACATACTAAATGACGAAGTTGGTTTCCAATTTTTTGACATGCCGCGCCGCTTTGCTCCATTGTTTCCTTCTTTTCTCTTCGGCGGCAGGAAAACGGTGTACTCCTATATTCTCGCATTTTAAAAAAAAACATTGCCCCACACTAGGATTTTCTCCTGTGTCGTGGGTGCGTTTACAAACATACAAGTTCACATACACATGACACTCAGACCCGGAACAACAATTTGTGGATCACACAAAGAGTTGTTCCGTGCGGGAATCGAACCCGCGACACATTGCGCAGCAGCTAGTTGCCCAGCCACCGCGAAAACCGTGCAGTCGTGCATTGAAAAGCACTACATAGAGTCATGATGATTGAATTAACTAATATAATCTTGTTTGTTTTGGTAAAACAGCATGGAATAGACAGTTCAACCGACACCAGCGACGATACGCCACCTGTCGGGATAAAAAGTTAGTGTGCCTTCTAGTGTGTTTCAATAAGAGTAAGCCTCATGGTCATGGACATGTTGCGCATAAGCACTTTAATAGCTGTGTAATGAGACATGTCTTTAAAAATATAATTATGTGTACATGGGAAACGATGCGCCTGCATTTGACTGCAACGTACAGACGATGGTTGGCTATGGTCACCTAATTTGCATATTTTTATGTGACGATACAAGTCAGCGGACTGGGATGGGATGCGATCTTTTTTCGCTTCCTATCCTTGGCGGCCTGTCTGCTTCTCTTCTGATGACCCGTCAGCTTGTGCGGAAGCCGTAACAGGGTTGCTGCGCCAGGGCATGGAATACTACATTCCATTCTCGGACGTGGCATCCTCTGGTGGGAACCGTCCTTGGTTCGATGCCGACTGCGGACGTGCCGAAGCGCAAAAGCAGGCGGCATACTTGGCATGGGCGGATGCCAGGCGCCGTAGGGCTGATGACATTCATCAAAAGAAGAGAGCCTTTAATCGGGCTGCCAAATCATGCAAAAAGGCATTACGGATGGCTCGATTTAACCACATTGGCCGTATAGCGAACAAACTAGCTTCCTACCCAGCGGAAAGTAAAGCTTTTTGGTCCCTGGCCAAGGCGGTTGAATCGAACTTCTGTCGCTCCTCACTTCCTCCGCTCCTGAGGTCTGACGGGACGCTGGTTCACACTGCGGTAGAGAAAGCGAATCTATTTGCTTCTCTATTTGCGGAGTCTTCGCGTCTTGACACTGGTGGTGCCTTGCCTCCTTCTGTTAATAGCGTATGCAAGACGAATATGTCGCAAATTCGCATTCGACAGAGGGAGGTATATAGGACGCTACGTGATCTGGATGTGAACAAGGCCAGTGGTCCCGACGGAATCCCAGCCCTGGTTTTAAAAACCTGTGCGCCTGAGTTGTCTCCAATCTTGACACGTCTGTTTCGCCTTTCCTTAGAGACGGGTCTAGTACCGGTTGCATGGAAGCTGGCCAACGTACAGCCTGTGCCTAAAAAAGGTAGTCGTGCCGACCCTAACAATTACCGCCCTATTTCGGTCACGTCCATACTCTGCATGGAACGTGTACTTAACAATAGACTCCTGGCATACCTTGAAGGTAACGATCTCCTCAGCGATCGGCAATACGGGTTTCGACGTAACCGATCGACTGGGGACCTTCTTGCGTATGCCACTCACATATGGAGCGAGGCCATAGAGGGGCACGGAGAGGCATTAGCAGTCTCCCTCGATATTTCGAAGGCCTTTGACAGGGTATGGCACGACAGTCTAATCGGCAAGCTTCCTGCATATGGACTTCCTACTGGTCTGTGCAGATGGATAGCAGACTTTCTGAGGGATCGGTCAATACGAGTAGTCATCGATGGCTGCTCGTCTGACCAATTCGGTATTAATGCCGTATTAATGTCCCTCAGGGGTCAGTACTTTCAGCGACGCTCTTTTTGCTGCACATAAACGACCTGCTTAAGCCCGGTATCTTTGGGTATGCAGATGACAGCACAGTTGTTGAAAGGTATGTGTCCGGTGCGCGGACTAGCGGAACACAGATCCAGTCTTTAAGAGAATCCATGGTCGAACGTTTGAACTCGACCTTGAAGGCGGTGTCCGACTGGGGTGACGCCAACTTGGTTAGGTTCAATGCTAGCAAGACCCAGGCGTGTCTATTCTCCGCCAAACGGAGTCAATTTCCGCTGACTCCTACTTTCCGGAATGTATCCGTACCGATAACCGATCGTCTTGAGCTTCTTGGTGTAACTCTGACGCCCACACTCGACTTTGGCTCCTATATAGAGTCAAAAGCGCAACTGGCTGGTAGGAAGATGGGTGTCCTATGGAGGGTGAGACGGTACTTCACGCCGAAACAATTGCTTTGCGAATTGTACTGCTCTCATCTTTGGGACGGCTCAGCAAAATATCAGCTGGACGCGTTAGAGCACATTGAGAGGCGTGCCAGGAGGCTCATTGACGATGTTGCGCTTGTGAAGGCTCGGCTTCAAAGCCTCGAACACAGGCGTAAGGTTGCAAGCCTTTCGGTTTTCTACCGGATACATTTCGGGGAGTGTGCGGGGGAATTGCACAACTTGATTCCCCCTAGTCCTTTCCATCATCGTACCACAAGACAAACCGCGAAGCGTCACCGATTCATGGTAGATGTTCCGCCCATACGCACGAAGCGCTTCGCTTCAAGCTTCCTTGTGCGTACTGCTAAAGAGTGGAATTCTTTGCCAGTGTCTGTATTTCCTGAAGGGTATAACCTGGGAGTCTTCAAGGCCCGAGTGAATAGGTTGCTTATGGGACGACGTGCTCCATCGTAGACCGCATCATCGCTTACCATCAGGTGAGATAGTGGTCAAACGTCGCCCCATCAAATATAAAAAAAAAAACAAAACGAAATGTTGTTGTTCGCTTGACACCTGACGTAGGTACTACAAAACTATACGGCCTAAAGATGGCGGCTGGCACGCGAGGTAGGTACTGTTAGACGACGAAAATCAACTAAATGAACGTCACTAGTTTAATCTATGTTATCGACAGCACTAGCTGTCATCTGTCATATGGGACAGATTAGAAAAGTTTCCCGCGCAAAGTGGAGTGACGCGCGATACTGGTGGGAAATTGGAAGAGCATTGCGCTGTGTCCTTAAAAGAATCCGTTTATAATAAACTTTTAGATATTCAAGTATTGAGTTTTACTTAAAAGTACCTTGTCAGAAATGTAGAAATGTTGCCAGGCAGAGAATAAACAAACAACATGACGTCTCTTTCTTCAAAATTAAATTAGGTTACTTATTGATTAAAAAGAGACAAAGTGTGGTTTCATATTTCTGTATCGATTTGATATATATTTGTATAAGCAAATAAGCTATAGATCATTACGACGCATCTATATAATACTAAATCTATGGTCGTAACACGACATAAAAAAGAAAAAAGTTACTTTGAACTGTCAACTGTTGAACTGTCACTTTTTGAACCGTCAAATGTTCAACCGTCAATGTCATTCATTAAATTGCTGGTTCTGGTTATTACTTGTTTGAAGAAAAGAGTAATTTTGTATTTATACTATTTATGTATTGGTTAGTACACATTCTGGTCCCGGCTAGTTGACTAAACTAGCCATTGCTTTATTTACGCTCGTTGTTTTATAACTCACAGTTAGAGGCGCGTTAAACCAAATTAAAATTGGCACGTTTTACTGAATTCAGTTATTAGGGAGCAAACAAGGAATAAATAATGTTCAACCAGCCTAGCAATCCAAACAAAGATTTGGAGGTAACTTCTCCACCGGATGACACCGTGTCGGCGCTCGAATTTTCACCACCCGCACTTCAGCAAACATTTCTAGCGGCTGGTAGCTGGGACTGTCGGGTAAGTTTTAGTAGTTTTATAATAATAGTACACACTTTGGCGCGCCGGTAACTCTGTAAAGTTAATAACTGGTGTTGAACTATCATTCCAGTACTGTTACTGAAGCTAGATTGAGGGCACAGGGAGTGCGTCGGAGTAGATTGTTATATCTTCTGTGCAATTGTCTGATCACAACTGATCTGACTGACTGTTGTTGAACAACTTCAACAACAAAAACAAAGCTGCTATGGTGCTTCTGACTCGTTAATTGTTAGTTTCCTTAGATAGAGATATTATTTTTGTTTTGTAAGTTGTGTAAACATGTTGGTACAGGTTTACTACAATTCTTTCATAATATATATAAATATTATGTAATTGTCATAAAATGAGTCATTCATGAATCATGTTATTGTATTTGGATAAACAAAATCTAATTTAAAATAGACATGTGGAAGAAGTTACTCCCATGTAAACAGACTGAAGATTGAGTGGGAAAGGTCTGTTGTGTTTGTAAGTATTGCCAAAGGTGTATTTATTTATAATAGTTAATAAGAGTGTGTCAACCAATGTTACACACACACAACTTGTGCAAAATAGAAACATTTAATATTACCTGCACTGCATGGAAATATCCTACAACATATGTATCGTCCGTGCACCTGCAAAAACTGATATGTGCAAACATTTTGATGTTTTTCTTTGCCAGATTTCAAAATCCAATTTCAAATCGGATTATGCATCGATTACAAAAACAAATATGTTATTTCCCTCTAGAAATCAATTGGACAAAACTTATTCTCATTTCATTATGGTATAAGCCGGTAAACGACCGTACTGCCCATTGCTCACCTGATGGCACCTGATTGCAGCATCACATAGATAGTATAGCAGATTGAATTTCAACAGATTTTGTTTAAAATTTTTACCCTTTTCTATGATAAATCAGAATCAATCACAAATAAAGGTTTCATTTCAATATGTGTGTCTTTATCAGTTTTAAACCGATCGAATTGATAGTCTGCCTGCAGGTAGATGTTATAGTGTAGGCATCCTTTAAGAAATGAGTTTGGTTAACTCCACCCCCAAAGGGATAAAATAGGGAATGAAAGTTTGTATGAAACTTTGGCAGTTTTAAACCGATCGCGTCGAAATTCGGCATGCACGTAGATGTTATGACGTAGGCATCTCTTAAGAAAAGATTTTTATTCCACCCCCAGGCTCAAAGGGATAAAAAGGAGATGAAAGTTTGTATGAAACTCTGGTCAATTCAAATGAATCGGGCTGAGACTTTGCATACTTAAAGCTACTATGATTTAGGCATCTCCTAATAAAGAATTTTGATAAATTCCACCCCTAAAAAAATAAAACAGGGGATGAGAATTTGTTGCGTATGACCCCTCTGTGGTTCGAAACTAGTAGTAACAATATATTCACGTGAGTAACCCGCGATTTTTATCTCGATCTTATCTTCCCAAAATCTTCTTTGTCTTCTTTTTCCTGTATCTACTAAGCAATAACAGAAGTGCACACTTCTTTTTACGATCCATGTCACGACCTAGTTTTCATTTTATAATACGTTTAGTACGGTTGACGGTCGTCGAAGGAATGGTGGGACTGGGGTGTCCCAGTCAAGGTGTCTGCCTTGTTGCACAAAATGGCATCGCAGCAATTCGCATCGTAATTTTTGGGTTGCGAATTCGCATCACATCGCATCGCAGTTTTGTGTACGAGACCTAAGTGTGGGAGAGCCATATTTCGGCATGGATGGGCTGGCTCGACCGGAGTGATACCACGGCCTCACCTAAACCTGAAGTGAAGCAACGCTTGCTCTTGTTTTCGTCATGTGAGTGAGGTTCATCAACGGCCTGTTCTCGTCCACTGCAGGAGATAGGCCTCTCCAATGGCACGCCACTAAGCTCGGTTAGCGGTCTACAGTTTTACTCATCCAACCACTACCAGTCACTTTGTGGATATCGTCACTCTAGCTGAAGGACGCCCTTACACTACGTTTGGCTGCTGCCGAAACTCGGCCGAAACCGAACGTTCGGTCGGACACTATCAAAAACCGGGGACTAACATTTATTTATTTAATACAACATACAGATAACTTAACCTAATTCGACATAGTAACTTAAAATACGTTTCCTAAACTATTAACTATGAACTATATTTAACTATAAACTATATTTCCTTACACACTATAGAATAAGTGGTCCTTGTGAACTCGCTCAGTGTACAGTTAAATATGTATCTAAACATCTATACAGATGTTTAGATACATATTTAAATTCAGTTCCTGTAGATACCTACAGGAACTGAATTTAATTTGTTTTTTCTGTGACTAAATTACATCTTAATGCAAGCACAAAGAGTTAAATACTTATTATGATTGTAGGTACGATGCTGGGAAGTGGAGACGACAGGCAAGACAGTCCCGAAGGCAGTGCAGAGCATGGACGGGCCCGTGCTGGACGTGGCGTGGCACGACGTCAGTATACACTCGCTACTACTTGCCGCTGCCCCTTGCACTCTATACATTACTTGGTTCTCGTGTTTGTGTTTGCAGGATGGCAGTAAAATCTTTATGGCGTCCACAGACAAGAGTGTCAAGTGCTGGGACTTGGCTTCGAATCAGTGCATGCAGGTGACGTACTTGGACAATTCACGCACTCGCAAGGCGTGCACTCGTCGCTCGTACAGCGTGAGCTGACGCATGTGTTGTGTTGCAGGTGGCGGCGCACGAGGCGCCCGTCAAGACTTGCCACTGGATCAAGGCACCCAACTATACCTGCTTGATGACCGCCTCTTGGGATAAGACACTCAAGGTAAATAGAGGTCCGCAGTTGTATAACTAAGAAATATCGCAATGCAACAAACAGTTTATTTGTCAGTATGGTTATAGGAAAAAGCATTACCTAATCCCGACTTCTCGATAGTAAATTACGAATTTAACATTTTGAATATGAATAATCAAAGTTAAAACAAATGATTGACTACTTTTTCAGTTTTGGGACACCCGCAGCCCAGTCCCCATAATGAATATGAACTTGTCGGAGCGGTGTTACTGCGCAGACGTGGTACGTATAGCGAGCTGGCGCGAGTGGTGCGGCCCCGTCCTGCAGCCAGCTCATGATTTGTGTGTGCAGGACTACCCGATGGCCGTGGTCGGCACAGCGGACCGTGGCATCTGTCTCTACACGCTAGAAGGCAAGCCGGCGGAGTTCAAGCGCGTCGAATCGCCGCTTAAACACCAACACCGTTGCATCGCCATCTTCCGCGACAAGAAGACCAAGCAGCCCACAGGCTTCGCACTCGGCAGTGTCGAGGGGCGCGTGGCCATTCAGTACGTGAACCCCACTAACCCCAAGGACAACTTCACGTTCAAGTGTCACCGGCCGCCTGCTAGCACCACAGGGTATCAAGTAAGTAGGACGCCGGAGCTCGGCCGGCCCCGGCGCGGCCCTCGTCTAACATACTGCCGTCGGTCCGCAGGACATCTACGCAGTGAACGACATCGCGTTCCACCCGGCGCACGGCACGCTGGCCACGGTGGGCTCGGACGGCTCGTTCTCGTTCTGGGACAAGGACGCGCGCACCCGCCTCAAGTCCTCGGAGATGTTGGACCAGCCGCTTACGAAGTGCGCCTTTAACCACAACGGACAAATATTCGCGTACGCCGTTGGCTACGACTGGTCCAAGGTACGTACTAATGAAGTCCCCGGCGATGCTTGATGGCTAGCTGGGCATGCATATTTGGCCAGTGAGATTTTTGCCGAACTAACATTGTTATGTTCATGTGCACCTGTTGCAGGGCCACGAGCACTTCAACCCGGCCAAGAAGAACTTCATCTACCTGCGCGCTTGCTACGAGGACCTGAAGCCGCGCACCACGTGAGCCCTGCGCCCTCTGCCGACACGTCGTGACTGCGCCCTTCAACACCACCACTTCAGTTTTTGTAAAAACTTGCCCCTTTATGTAACTCATAATATTACTTAAATATTGTGATATGAGTCGAGTCCAATTGTATTTTTTTTTTATATTTTTAGGCATATCTTAATAAAATAAACAAACGATTGTTGCATACAAAGTGTTAATTAATGTTTACCTGTTAGGTTAAAGATTGATTTATTGCGAATACATATAGGTATGAAAAAAAATGATATTTTTCCAAACTAAAGCAATTGGCTCAGAATTTATGATTTCATAATACTGATGCACTATTCAGGACAACGTAAGCAAAATAACGAAAACATTAAGAATATAGCAACAAGAGTCAAAAGACTGGCACAGTACGTACTTACTTTTTCGTGGATAACACATTCATTGTAATTTTAAACCGGGTCGGGCAAATTAATAAAAAACCTCAGTAGTAGCACGGAGTCTGGAAATGTGCCCGGTATATGGCTATAGGCCATCCCCCCTTTTACATGGGACTCATAACATAAATAGTGAAAAGTGGGTGTTACATTGTAGTGTGTCATAATGTGCACCTCTGCCTACCCCTTCGGGGATATTGGGATAAAAGGCGTGATGTTATGTTATATGATTTGATTTTTTTTTCTATATTTTTCTGATAACTGGCGGGAGAAGATCATCGCGCCTATCGAGCCTTATGTGCCTTCAAATTTGTCGCGCGACGGCAGCGCGGCTGTTTCTCTGTTGCGCCCGACATTTAGGTATTATAAGTAGGGCACATTGCAACTAATTTTAAAGGCGCCCTTAGACTGAGCTTGAGCCATCAGGGACTAGACGTTTCTTATTTCCCTATGTCCATAAACTGTAATGTCAATTAGGCATTCTATACTAATACCACAGTCTATACAGTCGTCCAACGAAGATGTCTAGACAGGGCAATCGTGCGGGGTGTGAGGGGCAAGACGTGGATAGGCCGATCCCGAGCTGCAAACAAAACGATGTTAGTAACTCGGGATATATTATTCAGGGCTAAAGCGTGTTTGTTTATACCGACTTCAAAAAAAGGAGGAGGCACTATGTTCGAATGATTGTTTCATTTTTATATATGTTTGCCGTTGCATAAAATTTTCGTCTTGGGTGTCGTTTTCATGGTTTTCGAGGGTGGTAAAACCGATGGTGCTGTCAAAATGTATTGCACCTATGTGGATTATAAGTGACAAAACGGGTCTATGTAGCTTTACACTAAAAATGATAAAACAAAAACTGTGTTTAAAAAACCGAATTCTCAAAAAACTAAAAACAAATAAAAAGTAAAAACAAAAAAATAATTACTCTATATTAGTACTGGTGAATTACTCACCCACTGACCGACTTCTAGTTGGTGCCATAACGTCATATTTTTACAACCCCTGGCTGATGCGTTACTGTCTTGACGATGTCGGCATTTTACACAAGATCAAAGGTGTCGTCCTACTGTATGATTTTTATACTGTAACTCTATATTGGCGTATGGGTAGCCATTTGAATATGACTTGCTACGCGGATACCTACGTGCTCATATATTATTTACGTAAATTAAAGACGAAGATGAATCTAATTGCCTAATTGATTGCCTCGTTGGCAGAGTTGCCGATACGGAGCTGCGGAGGACTTATCTCTGGTTAAAGTTCCGGCTCGAAGTGCGGGAGTAGGAACGGGGTGGTTTTTAGTCAGTAAGAGTCTGACACTCCCTCCCGCCTCACCCAGGCGGGAGGAGTCATTTAATGATGATTTCCCCCTTAAAAAAATTTAAAATATCGATGATTGAAAATCCAAAGCCTGTACAAGCACAGCCAATACTTGTACACCTGAGCGTCAAGTTCTCGTAGATAGTGTTAAATGAACAGTGAAAAGACTTGGTATAGATTGGGTTTCTAATGTTTTTATTTCTATACCCTAGCCAATAGTAATATAGCATTCAAAGATAACAATTATGATACATTAAATAACACGTCAGTGGTGGTGGTGGTCGTCCTTGCCGCCGAGCGCCTTGGTGGCGGCGACAGTGAGCAGGGCCAGCCCCAGCCCGAGCGGCGCGCCGCGGAAGAACACGGCGCGCGCGCGAGCCCACTTCGTGCCGAACCCGGGGTGGTAGCGCCACGCTTCATTCCTGCAAGTATCGATTTATTACTACCACTCTTTGTACACCACTGAAATCACTGAACAGAGGATGGATTACAGGCCCACTAGATATAGCTGAAATATTATCTCAGTACCTCAGCCAGGCCTTTACGCCAAAAACATCAACAATGTCAGATTTTGAGAGGGAAATAGATGCCATCGTCAAGTGAACAGCAATAAACATAGCCTATAAAGGTTATTACATGCAGGGAGTTACATTGTTTCATTAAACACCTTCGAGTAATAAAAGCCCCAGGTTTTGAACTCATTATTGATGTAACAATTAAGCATCTACCAAGAAAACCTATAGTGTTCCTAACAATGCTATTAATTGCTATTTTAGGCTGCACTACTATCCCAAATTATGGAGAGTGTCACAAATATGTATGATACTAAAGCAAAGAGTTGTTTATTTAATAATTTGTGATAGTAAATATGCAAATGCAGGGATAGTCACCTGATCCATGGATCACGGAGGCCTTTTTTTTCTAGTGCTTTCTCAAGTTCTTCTAGTTGAGGGATACCCTTGATGGTGAACTCCTGGTAGCTGGGCACTTTGTATGGAGCTTCATGTCCGTGTCCACCCATCTAGAGATATAATTGAACACTTGAACATCCATCCCAACAGACAATCTCATACCAACCAACAGCACAAATCTATATATATAAAAGAAAGTCGTGTTAGTTACACCACTTATAACTCAAGAACGGCAGAATAGATTTGGCTGAAAATTGGTAGGGAGGTAGCTTAGAGCCAGGAGACCGACATAGGATACTTTTTAACCAATACTTTTTTTTTACTTTTTACCGAAAATCACGAACGGGGACGGGAAAAAATGGGATTACGCGTACGAAGTCGCGGGCAGAAGCTAGTTAATAATAAATTTCAATCCAAAATCGGTGGATAAAATTTATTTTTGACAGAGAATATTACATAACAAAGTGAATATAGTCTTGTATGCAGTCCAAATTTCATGTTTGTAGCATTGATAGTATGTGCTTGGCCATGATGAATGCAGCCCTGAGCCCACAATGCTTCAGTACAAATTGACTAATGTAGGTAATTAGGTATGTAAACAAATTGAAATGTTTGCCTTCAACACTCCAATTACTAATTATTATCATACTTTATCAAGCATACTTTACAGTGTGTTGTGTAAGTGTTGTTGCTATACCTGTGCAATCACTAACCAAAGAGTAAAACACAAAAATTCAAGCATAACAGTGTTAATTTCTGCAATAAGTCAAAGTCAAATTACATAGTTATAACAAAAGGTACTTTGGAAAACTAAACTAAATTATTTTTGTTCATTAGTCAGTATTCTAACCCTATTAATTGTTCATTTCAAACTGCCTTGTACTAATAGAACTAGGCAGTCCTTGTAGAACCACAAGGATTACCATGGCTTAGTATGAAGCAGGAGTCGGAATGGGTGGGTTGTTAGTCAGCAAGTCTTAAATCACGGCGGGGAGATATATGATGAATTCCGTCCTTCAAAAACAAGGTTTTAACTTTCTTTTTATAGAAGTTTTTAATTAACCTCATAATTAGCAATGTGCAAATTTTATCATAATATGGTAATTGAAACTTATTTATTTCGAAAAACTTATTTAGAGGTATTTCTATAGGCCTGTGATATTGCTCAAGTTGAGCCGGCAGATTTGTACTGAAGTGCTCTCACATCTCTCTTATGGGAACAAGAGATACATTACTTTTTGTTGACCTCCTTATCAGTCAGCTATGAGTGTTATGACGCAATCAAACTATTTTATTTCTGTATGATAATAATATTAGCCCACAGCCCATATTGTACAGACTGTCACAAAAAAACCAATACCCTGCACTGCTAAATATAACCCCTTGCCCAACTAGTTTATACTTGACTCTCCCTACGAAGTTGAAAGCGCCTGCATCTGGCGACTCTTTGCGATCTTAATCAGATCATATAAAGATAAATAATATCGTCATAATAATTATACAGAGGTTGCTAGCCAATCTAGGCATCCACCTACAGCTAAATCGGATCGACCCATGCTTCGTAGTAATCTTTTATGTTTACTGTACCGCATTCGAGATCATAATAATATTCAATAGCATTTTATACTACTTTTTAATGGCAACAAAACACAATTATAACCTTATGTATCATTACATAATTATTCTTATTTATCTACATGATATATGATTTGTAATTTATAACCAAAGCATTAATTCCAACTATTTATACAATTCTATTGCATTGTTGTTAAAGTAAACATGTACCTTTTTTATTTTTTGTAAATAAAAATCTTCACGTATTCCTCTCTGAAATTATTAATTATAAATGTCTTATGTCAAGTTAATTTGTCAATTTTTTTGTCACTTTGACAATACGAAGCCCAATGTTTTGGCATTGTCAAAGACTAGAGCTGCAAACTACTTACTAAAATTTACTGATAAAGAATTCTATTCCCTATGACTAATTAACTAGCAGTTAGCACCGCTCGGGGGCAGTCGAGGGGACTCGGGGCCTCGGGGGTTGGCGAGACTGGCTGGTTATAGTCATAGATGTAATAATAATAGATGACTTCACGTATTTCGTTGTAACACTATTACTTCCATGGACGGAACAAACTTTTTTCAACATCTTGGGATGCATGTGTTATGGTAAAACTATTTAATATTTACTTTATATAAAAAAACAATAGTTTTAATAAAATATATTGTATTTTAATCAAAATAATAAAAACAAATTCTTATTTTTTGATCTTGCAATAAGTACTCTGCAATATTAAAAAAATAGACAGGACTTGCTTGAAGTTTGTTGTATTTTGTTAAATAGGTACTGTGAATGTCGTTAGCCGCGTCTCGCTTGCATCGTTGATACGGCAGCTAGCTACTTGTCCGGCTTTTGTAATTTCTAGGCATTAACAGAAATGTCCAACATACATTACTGTGTCGTCGATATTGTGTATTTTACGTTGTTATTAACTAACTAATAGCTTTATTTATTATAGTGCCGAAGTGTTTTTAATTGCTTTTGTTAAAATTTGGTCGATCTACTGTCTCTACTGAGTGGCTGAGAATACTTAGTGATATCAAGTTCCAGTCAATGTACTGTCTGTGTATTGTGTTATTGTGGTGTCAAATGTAAACAAAAATAGATTCGGATGCAATCTAACTTTTCTAAAAGATTCATAGAAGTAAAAAATGAGATGCTTTAAATTGGCGAGTTCTGCAGCATAGTCAGTTATTAACAGACGTTATTTATACCTGAAGATGTTAAGTATAGTAAGAAAGCTCGCAAGCTGGTATTGAGACAAAGGATGGCGCCCGGAACCGGGTGGCCGGCGGCTGCAGCGCTTCTTTTGGCCATACTTGGTTTAGCGCACTCAAGTTCGGGTAAGTTAGTTGCTTCAGATTTCCCTACTAGAATTATTTTGCGGGCAAGTTCACGCACACAGACTTTTAGGCACCTAACTTCCGACACTACTTACTAAGTTCTGAGATTAAGTACCTGTCGTTCGTTAATAATCTCGACTAATCAACTCCAATCAACTCGCGCCCATCATTCGTACTCCTGTAGGTATATATCAGATAGTATTTTTGTAATATTTGATGTATTAATGTAGTTACTTAGTATCCGTACAATACTACCTACTATCTTCGCGCTGTCTGCGAGTTGTAGATTATGTAGGTAGGTACCTACGTTTTGAATAAAAATAGGTAGTTACCCTTGTGGTGTTCGTTTCTTTTGTCCCCTGTGCACTGTATAAATTCCGTAGAACCTAAATTTTAAAGAATATTTGGGGGTTCAAAGATAATACTTAATATACTTTCAGTTCAGCAGATACACATATTTGGGCAATGGCAACTTCCAACAGCCCACACAGTGGTAAAATAACCGACAAAGGTAGCGCAGTAAAGTACTTAATATTGTACCAATATTCTACAAAGATTCTACTAAAACTTCACGCAGATACGTCATTCACTAAGATGGTATATGATTGTAGGAAACTTGTTTTACTGTACTCTACTTTATACGCTTATAATAAGTACTCTATCTATCGTGTTACTATCTATGTCGTTTACTCTATCCAAGTGTAGGTACACCAGAGCTAAGCGCGTGCTTTTTTTTTATTAAGGTTATTATACAATTGTCTCTCGCCTTGGGTAAGGCGGGCTCTTAATAACTGAAAATTACCTACCTACTAAAACCACCCCGTCCCTGCTCCTGCTTCAAGCCGGAGCCTCTGCAACCAGCACGGTTCTGTGTGTATTATGGTCGATATTTAGAGTTGGGCAAAAAACTGCCGACAGAAATGCCTGGCAGCATTCATTTCTAATTGTTTACAGTATTCCCTACAACACGTAAAAATTAGATCTCTCTGTAAAGTTAGTACGATATTACGTAGGCGTATTGCACCCGCTACCTCAGAATTGGCCGTCGTCTAAACTAGCGGGTATGTATGTATACGTTTACTGTAAACATCAGGAAATACGTTAGGTCTGGTTTTGCTCGGACATATTGCTCTATTAAAAACATCTATAAACTGTCAGCTGTAATCGTGTTGGATAGCCACGAATGAGTTGGCTCGATCGGAGTTATGCCAAAACAAGAAGACCTCACACAAAACTGGTCGTGTGAGTGAGGTTACCGTGGAGGCCCAAATACCTCTCAAGTTCCAACCCTCAAATTCATGCGCGCGGAAGCACGTCGCCGGGGCGAAACTTCGCTGCCGCGCCAGATAAGTGCGTGGCGGAATGGCAGCAACGACTGTCGCAACCGAGAGCTGGGCTCGCTGCCATTGCACCGGTAAGTCCCCTCTTTGTGGCTTGAGAGACACTACGGCGTCCTCACCTACCGCCTGCCGCAGGTCCTCACAGGACTTGAAAGTTTCGGGAGGTACCTGTGTCTGATGGGGCGGGAGGAAACGCCCGGGTGTCATCACTGCGAGGACCGCCTTCAGGATACCATGGAACACACAGTGGGAGAATGCCCTGCGTGGGCTGAGCACCGCCGTGCCCTCAGGGACATGATCGGCGATGGTGACCTCTGGCGTCCGGCCTTAGTGCGGGTCATGATGCGGAGCTAGGGGGACTGGGATGCCGTCTCCTCCTTTTGCGAAGCAGTCATGCTAGCTAAGGAGGAGGCGGGACGTATGAGGCAGCGAAGCGCTGCCTCCTCGCAACCCAGTCATCGCGAATGACACTCCGGGCGTCGAGAATCGCGAGACGATCTCCGGCCACTGTAAGCGGCGAGCATGAGTGGCTCGCAGCCCGACCAGAACCAAACCCGAACGTACGGCGCGTCGCGTTCCGCGCGCACCTCAAAGAGCCATCAGACCACCACGGAGCTGCGGAGAACCTAACAGGTTACTGGAGCTCCGGCTCGAAGTGCAGGAGTAGGAACGGGGTGGTTTTTAGTCAGTAAGAGTCTGACAGTCCCTCCCGCCTCACCCAGGCGGGAGAAGTCTTTGCATGATTTTCCCCCCTTAAAAGAAACCCTCAAATTCCTACCCCTAAAAGGCCGGCAACGTACTTTTAATGCCTCTAGTGGTTCGGGTTTCCTTGGGCGCCGTAAATTGCCCACCATCAGATGATCCGAATTATTGTTTGCCGGCTTATCCCATAAAAAAATCAGTGATATTCAGATGATAGCCGTGGTCGTATGCCACATACCACTTACTCTTATGAAATTGTATGTATTGTAGCTGCAGTAGTGAATCATCAAATATTAGGAACTAGATACCTACATACCTAGTTAATCAATGTTATTGAGTTGTTTACCACTGAATGTATTTAATTTAATTTGATAATTGAATGAATATATTTTCTTTAGTTTTTTCTGTGTAAATAATATTATTACGTAATGGTATTCGGCATTCGGATTGTATTTTAATTTTTTTTTGACGTTAGACATATTTTTTTTTAATATAGAAGCACTTACAATATTATTCAATAGTATATGTAGGACATAAATAAAATTAATATAAACTATTACTAAATGAAAATATGTACAACTTAAAATATAAATAACTATAAAATAAAATATTTACACCTTAAAAAAATAATAAAAATGCTATCTTAAGGCATCAAAAAAAAATTTTTCCTCATTGCTAGGTAGGGTGCCCATAAGACTGGCAGCATTGCCACGTTGAATGGCAATGCTTAACCTATGTCCAAGGTAGTAGCCAGCCCTTCGATCACCTGAAGTGTCAACCATCCTCCTTACAATACCTTTGTAAAGAAGATGTGCACTTGGACCCCAGGGCCCTAAAGTTTCTACCCTAAACGGTTCGAAAGCATAATTGCCAATCAGGTCATCATACTTTCGCCGTTTGAGGTTCTCGGCAGCACCAGCGGCAGCACCGGCTCGACACGCTGAGTTTGGAAGATGGGATGGCGCCAGAGTATCAACGCAAGTGGCCTCCCATACTAAAGCCCATCTAAGGGAATAATGACATACCGTCGGGTCTCTTACCATCGTTGCGTACCAAGCCATTAGGTTCTAAAGTAGCTGGCACGCCAACGGAGACAAGAGCTCGATGAATTATGTCATTAATACTTGCGTGTCGAGCAAAACGGCCTGCACTACGGCTACACGACAAGCCGTGGTGTCCAAGGCTGTTGACATCTTCACCACAACGACAACGATGAGGTGAACAAAATGAAGCTCCAAGCCTTAAACAAATTGCAGCGCGGAATGTGGTGTCGTCCAACAAAGTACCTAAGTTATTTATTGTCTAAACTTGTTTTATACATTATAACTTTAGTGAGACATACTTAATTAATTATTATGTTTTTCGGCTTCCCACGTAATTATTTGACGAGGAACTCGACTAGTTTCATATTCATAAAATGTGCACTTTTCAAAATTAAATACAGAAATACATATAAAAAGCAGTAGCCCACCGGTAACTGGAGCAATCCAAGCTATTGGCGGTCAGAGAGAAATTTCCAGACACTACTAGCCGTGTCTAGAAGTACTGCTTTCTGCATCAGGCACTTGACCCAACCATCCAACGCTAGCCTACTCAGGTGTTGGTTGAAGCTTTTGACTTTGAGGGCATTGGCAGTTATGACTATCGGCATAAAGATTGCTGAATCCACATCCCCCATGTCGACAATCTCATAAGATAAATCAAGATATATTTATTTCCTTTATCATTATTAGCTTTTACGAGATTTTCGTCATGTGGCATATTATTACATCAATTTTCATTGTGCGACGGTTCGATCGATTTGTCACCACAATGCCAGGTTTGTCAGCAACAATTGTTAGACTGTTATAGTTAGTTAGCAAAGTTTCAGTCAAAGCGGCCCACAATCACATCACAGCTACCATCTGAACATCATGTCGAAGTCAGATAAGAATAAATTATTATGTTTTCGGCTTACTCACGTAATTATTTGACGAGGAACTCGACTAGTTTCAAACCATGCTAGAGGCTCATATTCATGAGCAGCATTCCGCGACCTGCTACGCGGCGACGGTCGCGCGGCTGCTGCGCGACTCCATGTTATTCCAGACTGTAATCTATCTCTGCGCCAATTTTCCTCCAGATCTGTTAAGCCATACTAGCCATTACATAAAGATGATAATGAATAATTGAAAATGTGTAAAGATACACAAACGATTTAATATAATATTAAAACAGTAAATAAAGGTGTAAGCATGTACTTACGTTAAATATTTGAAAAAAAATCTTGTATATTTCGTCTCTTCGTAAGCTCGTATACACTAATCTCCGGATTTAAAGAAAATGTTTTGTAGTTAGAAAACCGGGGCAACATAAGCATTTTATAAAGTACAAAATTCTGTCTAGCCGCTGTTGTTGCACGATGTTGTAGGCGTTGTAGGCATGATATCCTAATGCAAATTATGATATCGCAAACCCAGAAGCAGGCGCAGGACGCAACGCATATTAAATATGCGTCTGAATTTTGTATGAAGCAAGGAACTGAACTGTCTGAGTCGCCGGAGTCGCGCGAACTGCAGACAAAAAATGGCGAACCACCGGTCGATGTAGCAGTGTCCGGGCCTAGCGCCCGCGCACCGCCTTCAATACTGAGACCTGTTAATTACATACCTGCTGTTACCTAAACCACATGGACTCGTTATCTACACATTGTACAGACAAACACTTAAACCTTCTTCACTCAAGAGTCAAGAATTGGGTACTTGCCAACTAGTCATTCAATACTTTTTTCGAACTGTCAAAAAACGACATGAATTTTGTACGAGATTGTGTATTGTGACGTCACGTTTGTTGCGTCAAATAGCATACGTATTTCTTAAAATTTACAGGAAAAATATTAAAATCAAGTTGGTCATAAAATCAATTATTGAAAGTGCTTATTTTTTAATATTTTTTTTGTATTGAACAGTCGAAATAATT